CGGCGGCAATTCGGTGGAAGGTCCTTCGCTCCGAGCGGGAGTGAGGGACCATCCACCGAATTGCCACCGAATAGCTGGACCTGCCGCCCCTCTCCAGAGTGGCCGCCCCAAGCACCTGCTTGCCAAGCTGGTGCCTGGAGCCGGTCCTGGCTGGAGAAATGACAGAGAGGGACCTACAGCGCTTAGACCCAGGTAGGGACTAACAAAATGAGAGTTTGCCTGGATACATGCAAGTAATTAATCTGGCAGAACATCACAGAGTGGTTCAGTGGTAAGGAGAGAGCTGGGAGAGACCGAGTGTGATAACAGATCAGGTCATACAGGAGTTTTCACTATGATCTCATGGCATTATCAGCCAGCATGGTTTGGGGTTGCACCCAGAAGTATCGTTCCAGAGTACGGCGGGAATAGTTCTCTATATGGCTCTGGTACAATTGCTCCTGAAATACTGCGCTCAGTTCCAGGAACTACAACCCCCCAAAGAGTACCTGCAAATTGAAGAGATTTCAAAGAAGAGCATCAGGGGTAGAGGGGACAAGTTTAGGGGAGCGATTGAGACCGCGAAATCTGTCTAGTTTATCTAAAGAATGGCTGGGGGGGCGTGGGCCCTGCTTAAGGGCTGCAAATATACGTTCACTGTAATCAAGCCATACATGTGCTTACTACACAGCTATAATTTGCCGACCAGTCACACATCCCCTCAAACACAAAAAGACATCACACATACAGATGCATTTTTGCACATATCCAGCACTTGCACTCATCTGTGCCACTCACACCGATGTATCCACCCCATCTGCACTGCTATCTACATGCACTATCCCTCCCCAGTGCCAGCTCCCCACAGTAGGGTGACCAGATGTCCCGATTTTATAGGGACAGTCCCAATTTTTTAGGCTTTTTCTTATATAGGCACGTATTACCCCCACCCCCGTCCCAATTTTTCACACTTGCTATCTGGTCACCCTACCCCACGGTCACGCATATGGCTATGCACATGCACACAGCTCTGCACTCACACCCAGCAGGCAACAAGGTGCTCGGGCTGACATCCCCCTCTTTGTCAGATATCAACGATCACAGCAGGCTGCTCGCCCTTCTAGCGGTGGGGACATGGCTCCATGCTGCGCTGCTGGAGGGAAGCTTTGCACAGATCACCATAGCAGGCTTGGCGTCTCAGAGACACATGCACAGGCTCACAGTGGCACAGCTTGTTAGAAAACAATCCTAGGACTTGGATCCCCAAGGAGCAGCTCTACCCCAGAGCTATAGGAGACTCCTCCACCATACAGCCATAGCCCTGCCAGCCAGTGGATCGCAAGACTCTTACATGAGAAATAGACTATTTTAGTGCCAAACACTTCAGGATCTCCTCAGAGCAGCAAGGGCTTCTCAACAGGGCCAGGACATGCTCACCTTCGTCTTCGTCCTTCAGAGCATGGACCCCGGTGTGTCAGAGGGATGGACAGTAAATACCACAGGAGACTTTGCTGAGGTAAAAAATAAAATATGGCCAGTGTCCTACTTGTAAAGTTCCAGGTAAATCAAATCAATCCAGGAACCGCCTTGTCTTTGCCAGGGTTCAGGCCGACTGGCTTGAGTAAAGTGCAAATGCCAGTCCGTTTCAGTGATCTGCAGTTGGGTCAAGGCAACACTCAAATTTCAGCTCTTCCCCAGGTTAAGATTAGCTTCACCATGCTGAAGGGGTGGCGGGCATGGCCTTACCCTGCCCCCGGGTCAGTACACATTTGCCATACTGAAGGGCATGTTGGCCCTGCCCAGGCCTTAGATCAGGTTGGCCATGCTGGAGGTGGTGGCGAGCCGGCGGTTCCCAGAGAGCCGGCTGGAGATGGTGAAGATGCTAATGTCACCTGTGTCCAAGCTCCTGGGAGCAACTGGGCAGCAGGAGATGCTGAGCATGTAAAGCAGCAGGCAGAGTAGCATGGCAGCCCCAGCAGTCATGAGGATGACACCACTGGTGAACATGCTGGCCAGAGGCCGTGAGGCGCTGAGCTGCATGGTTGTGGTGGAGAGGACAGTGAGGACCACGCCACAGACCAGCAGCACCAGGGCACTGAGCAGCAGCACCACACAGTCTGAAAAGCCACCACTCTTCAGCAGTTCAATCTGGTTCCGGCTCCGGATGCAGTTCATGTCCTGGACAGCAGAGCTCAGCAGCTGCTTCAGCAGCACCAGCAAGGCCAGGAGGCAGAGCGTGGTGCCCACAGCCAGCCGCCACTCCCCGGATCGGCTGCTGGTGCTATAGAGGAGGACGATGCCCCCTGTCCCGCAGGCCAGAATTAGCACCACGGCCACCCCATAGCACAAGATGGATTTCTTAGGGTCCTTGAACCACCACAGCTCGACATGCTCCTCAAGGATGTTCCTCTGAATACGGCCAGCATCCGCAGGGGGCCTGGGCACACGGAGCTGCTCCAGCTCGGGCATGGTGGGTGCCTGAGGGGCCTCTAGGCTGGGTGCTGCGATGATCACACAGACGGCGCCAGGTCCCTGGCCGGGGCGGTCAAAGCCACAGCAGCTGTGACGGCTGTGACATTTCCTTGGGAGGCAGGCAGCTCGTGTTCTTGCCCTCTGATGCCCTGTGGCCACTTAATGTCAGAGCTCCAGTACAGCAGGGGTGCCCATCACTGCATCCCCTAGAGAGTTACGGGCTGCACGCCAGGGGATGCGCCAGGAAGGACTATGGCTGAGAGGCAGGATAACAGAGCTTGATCTGCGGTGTCCAGTGCGGTGAGCTGACGCACCTCCAGAGTGTCATGGGGAGTGGCTGGTACTGAGTCCTCCAGCCCCCTCCTTGTCCTAGTTATTTCATCTGAAAAAGGCCAGAAAAGAACAAAGTGTAATTGAACAAAGCCCCTGCTCCCAAATACCCCCTTCCCCATACAGTCCCCAGGGCAGGGTCAGAGACCTTCCTCGCTGAAACTCACACCCTGTGGCACAGGCCAGGGGACCTCCCCCCCACCTATGCTGAGGCTCCACTCACTGGTGCATCTGGGCATCCCTGTTCAGTGAAGCCTGTCTCAGGGGTGATTCTGCCGCTGTGGGTCTTCTGTCTCTCCAGACTCAATGGCTGCAGGGCTGCTGAGCCCAGAGACTGCTCAAGTGTCCCTGTGCATTCCTCAGCAGGACTGTGCCTGCAGCTGGGCACTGGCAGCACGGACAGAGGCAGGTCCCATGCTGTGATAAAGCCCCATTCACTGCCCCAGCCTCACATGCTCCCTCAGCAGCAGCTGCCTCTTGTCACCAACTGGCTCTCCAGCCCAGACTGTCAGCAAAGGGTTGGGTCCTGGGCTTAACTCTTACAGTCTAGTCCCAACCAATGGAGGAAAAATGAAACAATGAATAGTAACTGCTGAATTGGCTGTGCTTTCCGTCACCCCAATCCCTGGTCTGAGCCACCAACACACTTCCCTTGGATCATTGTCTCAGGCCATCAGCTCAGCCTGGATTCCCGCCCAGGATAATAGTAAAGGGTCTCACGTTCCCCCAGACACCGCACCACATAAAATTAATGGTTAGTGCTCATGTGTCCGTGCCCCCTGCCCCCAGAGTTTCCTTGGATAGAGCTCCCTCTACCTGAGAGACAGGTATTCAATGTGCGCGTGAGGGCTAAGACTCAGCGATTCTGCATGCATTTTCTATAGTCTTGGTGCGCACCCGCCTACTCGAACACATACTTAAAGCATGTGGGGTGCAGAGGGGAAGCTACGTAATCTTCTGGACTTGACTATGCAAACAAGCCCTCAGCTCCTTCCTGCCTTGGCCTTCCCTGACACCTCACTGTCTCTGGCTAGGGACCTCCCCCACCCCCCGCTTAGCTATTGAGCAGAGTCTTTGCACTGTAAGCAGAAACCACTTGCATTGCTCCATCAGCAGATTCCCAGCATGTGAGAGGCCTCAGTGGGTGTAAAAACCAGCATGGGGTGCGCCTACGCTACCCACCATAGGAGCTGTGCTGGGAAACAGAGGGGCATGCTAGAGCCATGGAGGGAGGGGGTGCCAGGTATGTGTTATGCTATGGCTATGCTCAGTTGTGGACAACAACTTGGGACCCATGTTCAAGTTCCATTTACACAGGTTAGCGCAGCCCCAGGGGACCACCCAGCACATTAGGGAGCCATAACTGGGCTCCCAGCTGGCCCCCTCTTTCCTACTTCATTGACACAGAGACTCTGGCTCATGGTATCTAAACACCTCAGAGACAGTAATGGCTACACCCTCACAACCCCTGTAAGGCTGGGCATTATTAGCCCCATTTTACAGGTAGGGAACTGAAACCTGAGAAGCTTGTGACGTCTCCCAGTCACACACACAGGGAATTTATATCAGAGGCAGGACCCGAACCTACAACTACAGGGATCTAGACTGGGAAACTTACCCATAAGCCCAGCCTTCGTTCCCAATTACAAATTCTCCTTCCACCCAACCTCTTCACCAACTGTGAAAGGTCCTTGTACCACCATGCCCCTGGGTCCTGGCACTGGGGCTTGTCCAGTTTGCTGTGTCTATCTGGGACTAAAAGGGAAGGCCATATAGAAACGAGTCAAGCATAAGCTATAAAGCAGCAAGGAATCGTCTCACTTTGCCTGTTATACAAATAGCACTAAGAACATATTACCTTGGTGCTGTGTGTGCTCCATTGGCTCCTATTTTCAGTCTCAAATACAATTGAAGGCTCCAGTCCCAGTTTTGGGGACCCTTATAGATTAGAGGGCTGACCACATTGCTGCGTCTGCAGGCAGAGCTCACTGCACACAGTAGCGGCTCCTGGCATCTCAATGGTCTCAAGTTGCAATGGGAGAGGTCTAGGTTGGATATTAGGAAACACTATTTCACTAGGAGGGTGGTGAAGCACTGGAATGCGTTACCTAGGGAGGTGGTGGAATCTCCTTCCTTAGAGGTTTTTAAGGCCCGGCTTGACAAAGCCCTGGCTGGGATGATTTAGTTGGGGATTGGTCCTGCTTTGAGCAGAGGGTTGGACTAGATGACCTCCTGAGGTCCCTTCCAACCCTGATATTCTGTGATTCTATGATCTCTCCATTCTCCCCACAAACTCCCAGTAAGCCACCCTGCCATCCCCTTCTATGTCAGGGCCTCTCTACACTCCTCCTTCCCTACCCCCACCTGCGTGCCAGGGGCTCTGTGTAGCCCCCACACTCCCCTACCAGTGTGCCCCATTCTCCCCCCTTAGCATGGGCTCTATGTACACTCTATTAGCCCCTTACCACCCCAGACTCATGCCAGAAGATGGGTGAGGGGGCTGCACCAGTTTGGATGCAAGAAGTGATTTCCTTGACATCTTAAACAATGGCTACATGAGGCTTCTCTTCAGCTAGGCCAGGTGGGCAGGGAGTGGGGGTGCTGGAGCCAGACACTGCCTGACAGTGTCAGGGCAAACTCTTCCAAGCTCCGGCCCTGACTCTGATGGAGCATGAGATCACTGTTAAAGCCATAAGCACAACAGCCATTGTTCAAGGCTCTCTACCAGCTGGTCACATGGCAGGGCGGATTCTGAGCTCTATTCTGCTCATAGGCATGTAGCTAGTTGCGTTGCATGACCTTTGCTCTGTGATAAGCCCCTGCTGCGTCTGTGGAGTTTGGACTCTCCTGTGAGTGACTGGATCCAGAACACAGAAATTCCTAGTCTTGAGAATTTTTGCTTGGTCTGGAGGCGTGTAGGATTCTTGATCAAACTCACAGTCTGTGGCTGTATTCAAAACAATTACAATCCTCCAGTTAGTGGCCAGAGAAGCAGCTGTGCCTGCCTGGGACCAGCTCTGCTATTCACAAACACAGCAACAGAAAAGACATTGCATGCTGCCTGCCCCTATACAGTGTGTGGTGTTGGGATGCATGCACCCTGCAAGGTAAATGCACTCAGCCCTGCAAGGGCCTGTCTGACTCCAGGGGACATTTCTGAGCTGGTTAGTTTAGATGGGGGCTGAGCTGTGCAGGGTTAGGGGTGAGCTCTGGGCTTCTGTCTGAGAGCCCCCTTGCAGGTTCAGTATTATTCAAACACTCAGCCTCATAGAGCCCAACTACACCAGCACCATAACTGCATGGCCACCTCTATATCACAGCACCCTTTGCCCCTCACTTTGTGCTCTAGGCATAGAGCTATGCTGTCTCACCATTACACCTTTCACACAGCTTCCACGAAGTCTTTGGACTGCAGGAGTTTAACTCTTTACATTTTATTTTTCTCCTTTGTTGTCTCACTCATCACATCAGAATAGTCTGCTTGGGCCCAAGGGACTGGCAGGGACGTGAAGCTCCACGCCTCCATACGGGAGGGCAGCTTCTTTCCACAGTAGACTGGAAGTGCTGAAAAGCTCTTTCTCTCTGCAGCAATTCCCCCCTTCCCCGAAACCTAGCGTGGAATAAATAGGGACACAGACACTCTTCATAAAGTCATAGATTTTAAGACCAGAAGGAACCATTAGACAATCTAGTCTGTCCTCCTCTCACAGATCATTAAATGTCCCCCCCCCCCTTGTATTGAGCCCAATAACTTGTGTTTGAGTGAAGACTTTGAATTCAGTGTTTCTGGCTGTTATACATGGGACAGGAAGAAACAGGGGCCCAGATCCCATAGAGTGAAAGAGATTTCAGCTCAGATGGCTCAGTTGTTGAAATACTTCCACACGCTCTCCTGCTGTATGGTGTCAGGTCATCCCAGGAGACATTCAAAGGCTCTCGCCACCCCTCACCAACCCCATGTACCGGAGGAGAGAGACTACTAGGTTATGGGATTGTTTCCAGTGCTGCTGTTGGCTTTTGGACTGTTTTGTACAGTTTTATGTGCCTGATAGAGAATATAGGAGTATGTTGAGTGTAGGGATGCATAGTTATTCTAGCTCAGAATCCCAGAGGAATTTGTTGCATAAAATTCCCGTTTTGCAACATCTTAACATTTTCTAAACTGCAGGAAGTTGCACCAGTTATTTTTAAGCTTCCAGTCATCCTGGTATCAGTCCTTAAATATGCCCCTCTCCCCCACAAATAAATCCCACCTCCCCTATAAATTTTTTCCTTCTTGGTCACATCTGGGCACAGCACATATGGGGATGGCAGTCATGACACCCCCCGGCCACACATACACACACTTTGTGGATTGATCATGCCGGGGGAGGGGGGACTTAGAGTAGAGGGCTCAGGGTTATGGGGCTCAGTATGTGACAGCCTTCTATAGCCAAGTAGATCAGGTTTGTTTCACTTAATCAAAAAGGTTCATGATCGCTCTGCTAAGTGCTTAAACAGGCCCCACCATCATGATACCAGAGCACCTATTCCAGTGCAGATCTTGCTGAATGAGGACTGTGAAGCAACAAGAACGACTTGAAGCTGAAATGCCCGGCAGAAAAGAGTGAGGCAGGGCAGCGGCTGCTCCAGACAATCGGCTGTCCTAGGCAGAACTTCAGTATGCA